GTTCAGATCTCTCTCAAGGATGGGGTTGCTGGAGCCATGAGTGTGAAGGACTCAGCAGAGAAAGAAAAGTAAGGCGAGGAGGGTATAGGGTCTGCGGGGCACTTCGAGTCTAAAGGACTTCGCTCCCAGGCAGAGCTTTCCATTAACTTAGTTTTTGTTCCCTCATTCACATACTCAGCAGCCATTTATCCAGCGTCTTCCCACTGTGTGTGCCCGGCTCTGGACGAGCCCTGGTAGAGAAGTGTCCGGAGACAGTGGGCTCTTGCCCTCACAGAGCTGACGTTCAGCAAATACTTAGGCCAATAAGAAGTGACAAATGAGAGTGAGTGTCGTACAGAGAAAGGACAGGGTGCAAGAAGGGGGCTTGGTTAGGTGCTGGGGCAGGGGGGCATGAGGATAGAGGCTGAAGCTGAGCCATGAGGAGGAAGAACAGGGGTGAACTGTGGGGAGTGGGGGAGACGTGTCCCAGGTTGGGACACAGCAGGAGAGAGGCCCTGAGCCCCTCTGAGTGGCTTGCTTGGTACACATCCTGCAGGCTTGACATTCGGCAGCGATAGGGACACCCAGCAGATGAGTCGCACCGACTCCGGTGTGCCCGGGGAAGGCAAAGCTGTGGACTCTCATTTGTTCGTTGGTTTTCTTGTCTGTGTACCACTCGTGCATGCATTCATTTGCACATTGAGCCCACGTGCATTGTCAAGCTACTGTGTGCTAGGATGCATCAGATCTAGGTGCTGCCCTCGGGGGACCCAGGAGGTGAGGAGGAGGACAGACCAGAAGCATGTACATTTCAACATGAGAAGTGTGACCACGGGGTAATGAGCAGAATGCACAGGGCCCTGATGGTGCTGAGTTTTTGGCTCGTGGCCTTGGGTTGTAACGCAGAGGCCACTGGGAGTCCGCTGCAAGCACTTGGCATTATCAGTGCCTCCTCTCCCCAGTCAGGGATGTGATCCTGACTCACCTTTAGGGACCCTTCGGGTGGGGCAAGACCCAAAAGGGAATTGGTGGGAAGAGACTCTCCCTTCAGAAGGGCCCCGTCCCCAGGCCGCCCCCCGGGCTATTGGCACCCCCAGCTCTTGTGACTCTCAGAGACAGTCTTGGCCCACCCACCCCGGCTTCTGGGGTCCTCTCACATCCTTAGGCATTGGTTTTCCTCATATTCTGCCAGAGGCAGCATGTGGCTTCTCCTGGAGCGGTTTGACTGCACCCAAGTCCTGGGCCGAAGCTGGCTTCTCCCACCAGTTTCTGTGATGCAGGAAAACACCTTCCCGCTGTCTGCTCTCTGCCCGGGGCCAGCCAAGCAGCTGGCGGCCGGAGGGCCCGGGACGTGTGCTGCAATTTCTCTGCATCCTAAGTGGAATTGCAAACTGAGTGAACGCTGCCAAGGCAGAAGAGGAAGGGGAACTCGATGTTCTTTTTCAGAGTTCAAAAATAGTCCTTTTTGAGTTTTGAGGAAGATCTGGTCTTAAAAAAAAAAAAAAAAATCATGTTCCCCGGTGCTAAATTCAGCCTTGCCAATATCTACAAAGAATGAAGTGGCAGGCAATGCTGATGTACTGTTTTCCTCTATCATTCACTTCTGGTGACATGAGTGTGCAAAACCAAGCAAGGGGGGAGTCATGATTTGGTGCCTAGGGCAGGTCGGAGGATCGGAGCCACCAAGCAGTCTGCTCAGCAATGGAGATTTTGCTTGGTGCCTCCCGCCCCCACCCCAAGTCCTTCCCCTCTCCTCTATCCCTTCCTTCCTCCTTCCCTCCTTCCCTCCCTTCCTTCCTTCCTACCTTCCTTCCTTCCTTCCTTCCTTCCTACCTTCCTTCCTTCCTTGAACCCTAACTTCCTCTGAACTACAAACAGTTTTATTTCTTCTGAGGACTGCTATTGACATGTTTGTTGCCTCCTAGAATAGGCGTGTTATCTATCCTTAGAACTCTGACATGGGGCGGGGACATTTTAGAACTTTGGAACTACTAATGACCTAATTTGTGGAGGAGTGGATGGGACCACTCACTTAGAAGCCAGGAGGGTCCTCACTGAGCAAGCTTTGACAAACCATTTCCCTCTTGAGCCTGCTCTGGATGCTTGTAGAAATCAAACGGGATAAAAAGATGAGATGTTATACGTAACTAATGAATCATTGAACAGCACATCAAAAACTAACGATGCACTATATGGTGGCTCACTGAACACAATTAAAAAAAAAAGATAAGATGTTGTGTGACCATTAGGTGCTACATGAGGGTAAGAGATTGGCATTCAAACATGCTCCCCTTTGTAGGTGAAAAGACTGAGGCCCAAAAAAGTGGAAATGTCCTGGACAAGGTTGCCCAGCAAATTGGTACCAAAGCCCAGCCTGGAGCCCAGGTCTCTTTCCTCTGTCCCCGGGCACTTCCTTGTAATGTTCCTGCCCCCCTTTCTGGACCATTACAGGAAGCTGGCATCAAGCACAAAGTGCATTTTCCATCTCCCACCTCTCTATACCTCTCAGCAAGACCAGCCAGCCATATGACGTTCCATCTTTCCTATGATTCTTAACAACCTTTCCAAACTGTTTTTCCAAACGGGGGTCCCAGCAGCAGCCCAGAACCACCACAAGCCACACACCCCCACGGACCCATGTGGGAGCAGGAAGAGTCAGCTTCAGAAGGTGGCTCCTGGTGAGCTGAACCCCACTGCTGCTGACTCAGGCCATGGCCCCCACTGCCTACGTAGAAGCAGCCTAAATTAAAACCTAGAGAGCTCTAAAAAATGCAGATGCCTCTCCCTGTCAGTTCTCCTCAGTGATGAGCAGGAGAGTCTAATTTTAGCAGAGAAGATTCTTAGAATGTGAGAAACAGAAGGGCTTTGAGATCGTCTCATCCTGTGGTTCTCAGCCCACTGAGCATCAAAATCATGCAAGGAGATTAAAAATATATCTGCAGAGATTCAGATCAGCTGGTCCAGGGGAGCACCAATATTGTCGTGAAGCTGCGGGTGATTTGTATGTGCAGCTGGGATAGAGACGCAAAGGTCTTGTCTTTCCCCTTCTCTCACAGAGGAGGCTGAAGCCCAGAGAGGGCTGGGGACCTGCCCCAGGTCACACAGAATCAGGGGTATAGTCAGGACTGGAACTTGGGTCTCCTGACTCCTCACCAAGGGCTCTCATGTAGTCTCTCTCACTAGAAATCATGTCTAATGAAATGGCCAGGGGAATTAACATAAAATCCATCAGCACATATTTACCAAATACTGTATTCTGGAGGAGGAGGAAGAGAGGTAATATTCTTCCCCCACCTCTGGAAGCCCAAAGTCTGGTAAGCACGCATGCACCCAGCTACCTCTAACACTATGTAGACTGTGCTGGGATAAGCACAGCAGGTGCAGTGGGAGAAGTAGGGAGGGCAAGGGAGGATCCCAGGAGCCTCCCTGAGAGAAGAAGTGTTAGTCCAAGTCTTAAAGGATAGGAAGGTAGGGTTGTTGGGTCAAATACAGGATGCGCAGTTCGATTTGAATTTCAGATAAACAATGATTAAGTTTTTAATATAAGTAGATCCCAAATACAGAATGGGACACACACACTTATATTAAAATATTATTCGTTGCTTCCCTCTCTCGCTGTGTCTCTGTCAAATGCATAAATAAAATCTTAAAAAAATAAAATAAAATATTATTCGTGCCTATCTGAAATTCCAATTTAACTGAGTGTCCCGTATTTTCATTTGCTAAATCTAGCAACCCTACGGGCAGCACAAGGCAGATGGAGAGAGAGTCACCGGTAGAGGGCACAGTGTTGACAGAAGCGGGAGAACGCACCGAGCCGTGGCCATTTTGTCACTGGAGCAGAAAGGGTGCAGGTGAGGGACAAGCCACTGAAGCAGCTGGCCCAGGGAGGGCTGGTGGGGCCACAAGCTACCATCCTCCCACCCGGGTGGCTGCAAAGCCTCACGGTCCCCGTGTCCTTCCCTCCCTCTGTCTCCACACACAGCCAGAGTGACACTCCCAGAACTGAGTCAGGCCATCTCAGTCCCTGCTAAGGCATCCAGTGGCTTCCTGGCTGCACCTAGGGGAAGACCTACGAACTCCTTACCTCACCCTAGAAGACCCTGCAGATCTCAACGTGCCTGTTTGAATTAAATCTACTCCAAAGCGTTGTTGGGAGGATTCAGAGGGATGGTGTCAGGCAGTTTTCAAGCTTGGCTGCCCCCTGTAACTACCTAGGGAGCTTGAAAAAGGCAGATGCCTGGCCCCACCCCTAGAGATTGTGGTTTAATTGGTCTGGGGTAGGCCTGGGCATCAGGAGTTTGAAAAGATGCCCCAGTGATTCCAGTGTGCAGCCAAACTGAGAATCACTGACATATATTCTCTGGCCCTGAGCAAGCATGCAGTGAGTGGGGGGGGGTGGCGGTCCACCATGTGTCCAGCTCAGCTCTGTCCATCCTCTGTTTCCCATTCCTGCCCTAGCCTTCCACTCCTTGAGCTGAGGGCTTTCCCACCCACCATTCCCTCTGCCTGCCCAGAATGTTCTACCTCCTTTCTCTTGACTTGGCCAATAGTACTCATCCCTCCCATCCCAACTCCCTCTGTTCTCTTCTCCCAGAACACACTGAACTTTTCTTTTACAACACGTATACTCTGTGCTTATGTTTTCAACTGTGTAGGTACCTTCCTAGCATCTCTCCCCCAGTAGACTTCGTTGTTCCCTGCTGCCTCCCACACACAGCCCCACTCCCTCCCAACCCCCACCCCCAATTCCCCTCCTCCCTCCACCACCACCCCACCCAGAGCCAGGCATATGATGTGAGCACTCAGTAAACGTTGAACAAATGAATGGATGAAAGCCTGACTGAGCACAGGAGTGATGTGGTCAGATCTGCTTTTCCAGAAAGATCTTTCTGGCTGCTCTGTGCTGAATGCTGGTGGGGGGAGGGTAGGAAGAGACCGGGCCAGGACAGCAGTGATTACACGGCTGTGATAATACAACCACAAAATGGAAGGGCCTCAGCCAGGACAGAGGCGACGGAATGGGAGGTGGGACAGATGAGAGACAGTGTTTAGGAGGGAGGGGGACTTAGCCATGTGACTGAGGTTCCACCGTGAGGGGACAGGCAGGATACCAAGATGGAAGGTGATCCAAAGGAAGGGGCTGTTGCTGGGGAGGACGAGTTCTCTTTTGGCCAAGCTGGGCTGGAGGCACCTGTGGGACATTGGGAGGCACCTAGGAATCTGAGGCCGGGGTTAAGAAAGTCTCAGCTGGTGACTGGGTGATACACACTGGGGAGGGTATGTGCTCTGGTAAGCGCTGTGAATTGTGCAAGACTGTTGAATCTCAGATCTGTACCTCTGAAACAAATAATGCAATATATGTTAAGGAAAAAAAAAAAAAAGAAGATAGCAGGAGGGGAAGAATGAAGGGGGGGAAATCGGAGGGGGAGACGAACCATGAGAGACGATGGACTCTGAAAAACAAACTGAAGGTTCTAGAGGGGAGGGGGGTGGGAGGATGGGTTAGCCTGGTGATGGGTATTGAGGAGGGCACGTTCTGCATGGAGCACTGGGTGTTATGCACAAACAATGAATCATGGAACACTTCATCTAGAACTAATGATGTAATGTATGGGGATTAACATAACAATAAAAAAAATTTTTAAAAAGTCTCAGCTGGGTGTAGAGATCTGAGAGCAACATAAATAGAGATGAGAGTAAAAATCAGACTTAAAATCATGCAGTGTTTCTTGCCATTTCCATGAGCAAAAATTCCTGGGGTGTGGAATACATGCTCCGGAGGCTCTTCTGTTGCAAAGAGGCGAGTCACGGGCCCTTCCCCTGTCCCCGCAGCTATCCTGGGCATGCACACGCTCATGAGCAACCAGCAGTATTACCAGGCCTTGGGCAGCAGCTCCATCGTGAACAAGGAGGGACTCAACAGTGAGTACACGGCCCTGATCCCCAGCTTTGGCGCCCCCTCCCCTGCCCCCAGCGAGGACGCCTTGAAGTGAAAACATCCCCACGCTTCTTGCTTCCTCTGCGTATTCATGCTCTCTGGCTCATTGCAGACATTTTAAATTTTTATGTAGCCAAATCTATCCACCTTTTCCTTTTCCTTTGCCGGGATTTGTGTCTTGTTTATGCAGGACTTCTCCATCCTAATGTGATACAAATATCCTCCTGTATTTTCTTCTAAAAGTTTTAGAGGTTTGCCTCTTGTATTCAACTTCTTACTCCACCTGCAGTCCGTGTTTGGGTGTGGTGTGAGATGAGATCAAACTGTCATTTTTTAATGGCTCTCCCACGGGGACAATACTGTTCTTTGCAAAGCCCATCCCTTCACCGCTGGCTGGGGACTCCACCATGATCATGAGTTTCTACACATCCACACGGGTCTGTCTCCTGGTGCCTCTTTTGTTCCGTGAGTGCCCTTGTCTTCTCCTGTGACCATATTGCATTGTTTTCATTGCTCCACTGCATTGTCCCAAGCTGGCATTTCGGCCCCCAAAAGCAGTGAGGGTGGCAGAAGAATAAGGTCCCCCTCTCTGGAAAGCTTACACGCTTCTCTCACGTTCAGGCTTCATTTTATCCTCACAAGAGTCCACTGAGGCAGAGTGACTGACCGACACTTTACAGATGAGGACACAGAAGGTCAGAGGGTTGCAGTCATTCACCCAGTCCTTGTAGGAGGGCAAAGGCCGAGTCCAAGCAGGGCACAGCCAGCGCTTCTCTCCCCCGCCCCGACCCCACCTCCCACCTGCCCGCCCCCCACCCATCGCCCCAGGAATGCGCAGTCTTCTCTTGTGCCTGAACCCAGCCACCGCTTCCTTCCAGAGAATCCCGGTGTGGAGGGAGAGGGTCCCCGTGTTTCTGTGAGCCACCTCTCTTTTGTCGGTCACTCTAGGCGTGATCAAACCGACACAGTACAAGCCTGTGCCCGATGAAGAGCCAAATTCAACAGACGTTGAGGAAACCCTGGAGCGGATAAAGAACAATGACCCCAAACTTGAGGAGGTTAACCTCAACAATATCCGGGTAAAGTCCTTTTTATTTAGCTTCACCTGGGGCGGGTGGGAGGAGCCATGTCTGTGTACCCCGATGCCTGTGGCCCAGGCTTGGCTGTGCGGAGAGAACAGGGTCCAGTTTGGGGTCTGGGTGCTTCTGGATCAGGAAGGGGGCAAAACCTCTAAAAGGCCTGGGCATCGTCAACAAACATGTCCTATAGCCCTGGTTTCTTCAGGCCCAGGTTCACCATGGGCCAACAAAGCTTTGATTCTGGAAACCTGCCTTGTTATTGGAAACACTGAGAGCTTCTCCGAGCTAAAAATCCTAAGTCAGACACACCTGACTACCGGGGATCCCAAGGCTGGAAAAAGCCTGTGCCCAGCAGGCATGTGGGGTCTCACAGCCCTGGGACAGGCCGAGCCCTGAGCCTTCCGCGCTCTATCAGACGTATGGTCAGCCTCATTCTGCAGCCCTGGCAGGGAGCTGTGGGCCCATATGTGTCGCATGTTTCCTGTGTGACCACCAAGGGCAGAGGAGGGTCAGATGGACAAGCAGTCGCACCCTGGACAGGCTGCAGGGGGAATTCAGAAGCAGGACCAGCTGCCTGCCCACCTGCTCAGCCCAGAGGCCAGGAGGATTAGTTCTGGGAGGCTGTGGGGTAAGGTAAGAAGTGGTCCCCCCACTCCCCAGCTCCTCTTTTCTTTCTTCTCCACTTTCTTTTAAGTGGCTGCCAGCCCCACGGCATAGTCTGATTGGAAACCTGCGCCTGCAGTGTTCTCCTCCACCTGGCCTCCCTCCCCAGGCTTTGCTCCCACGGGGAGCTAACGTAACTCTCTGAAATGAGAGATCCGTGCAAACACAGCCAGGTTTCCTCTCGGGTGCCTCCATTGTCTGCTGTGTGGCCAGTGGGAGGCCCTGGCACAGCTCAGAACTCTGCACCCTGGCAGTGAACACTGGCTCGGAGTGGCGTAGGGGTGTGGAACCGGCCGTGGCTGTGCGCCTTCACCTTGGGGCCACAGGCTCATCCTTCTCTAGGCCTCAGTTTCCCTCATGCACGTGAGAAAGTTGGACCAGATCAGTGGTTTCCACCTAAAAAGATTAAGAAATCTCTGCCAATGCCCACCCCGCCCCCACCCCGAGATTCTGAATTTATTGGTCTGGTTCAGACCCACTCATCAGCATTTTATAAAAGTTCCCCGGGAGCCTCTGATGTGCAGTACACCTGAGAACCTTTGGGACAGATGTCTCCTAGAGATCATCTAGTGCAGCGCCCAGCCCCCCACCTTGGTTTTCCAGAAACAGGTCCAGAGAGAGGGGGTGACTTCGCCCAGAGGCACAGAGAGAGTCAGAAACGTGGCCAGTTGTCCGGGCAGAGGCCAAGGCCCTGCCCACTCCCACACCCCAGTCCTGAGCTCTCGGCACAACACTCCTCTGCATCCTCTGCCTTGATTTTTCCTTCTCTGGTTTCCACCTGCACAGATAGTTGTGGGTCCTACCTGAAATTGTCAGGGAGGATTTTCCCAATCTGTTTACCAGGAAGTTCTCTCTAAATCTCAAGCATGTGGGGCAAAGCCCGAAAACCCTTTACCTATTCAGCTCTTTGGTCAGAGACCTGCTAGCAATCAGGCTGCATGTGTGAGAGGGTTACTGCCCCATTTGTCTGCCCAGCCTGACCCTGGCCGGGGCTGCTCCTCATTGCCTGCCTTTCTCTCTGCAGAATATCCCCATACCCACTCTCAAGGCGTATGCAGAAGCCCTGAAAGATAACTCATATGTGAAGAAGTTCAGCATCGTGGGAACACGGAGCAATGACCCTGTGGCGCATGTATGTACCTTTCAGTTCTGCTGCATTGGGAGTGGGGGGCATAGAAACGGAATGATTGATGCTTGTGGCCTCAGGACTGGCCGAACCCCACTGAGGAAGAACCTTGTATGGCATGGTGAAAGGCAATGGGCCAGGAGCCAGGAGATGATGTGAACACAAGGGCCATTACCCAGGCAACATCTGTACATTATCCTAGTTAATATCCACAGCCACCCCTGATCTCAGGGATGCAGGTCTCCCCACTTTGCAGATGAAGAACCTGGGGTGCAAGGAGTTCAGGCATTTTGCTTTGTCCAAAGTTGCACAGCAAGTGAGAAGTGGAGCTAAGATTTAAATGCAAGTCTTGTTAATTCTAAAGCGGATCTGTCTCCACTCGGCACATCACATTTGGATAAGGACCTGCCCCTCCCTTGGCTTCAGTTTCTCTATATTTAAAATCATTGTCTTACTCAATGGGTCCTGATGATCAATTTTATTTGTTTTTTGCCCAAGTCTTAAAGATATTGCTGATCAAATTAAATTGTACTTATTATAAAGTAACCATCAATTCTTTTTTCTTTTTTTCTTAATATTCAAACATATTTATTGAGAATCTGTGTCCAGCACTGAATTAGGCTCTGAGACTACAACTGTGACCTACAGTCATAGCTCCCACTTTCATGAACACAACGGTCCATTTGGCCATGCAGACAACTAAAGGCTGACAGTATAGTATGATTATTACAACACTAATAGGTTAAAAGTGCAAGAATTAGCTTACCAGGGATGGCAGTTAATCATTTAGCAGCAATCAGGTTGTTAATATCCACAAAATAACTTGCAGGAATTTTGACTGGGGTTGCATTGAACTTGTAGATCAAGTGGGAAAGAACTGATATCTTGACAATATTGAGTCTTCTTATCCATGAACATGGAATATCTATTTATTTAGTTTTTTATTTTTATACATCAGAGTTTTGTAGCTCTCCTCATATAGGATCTTCTACATATTTTGTTAGCTCCATACCTAAGTATTTCACTTTTGAGGGTACTAATGTAAATGGTATTGTGTTTTTAATTTCCTATTCCACTTGTTCCTTTGCTAGAATATAGGAAAGTGATTAGTTTTGTTGTTTTTTTTTTTAAGATTTTATTTATTTGACAGAGAGAGACACAGCAAGAGAGGGAACACAAGCAGGGAGAGTGGGAGAGGGAGAGGGGAAAGCAGGCTTCCCCACTGAGCAGGGAACCCGATGCGGGGCTCGATCCCAGGACCCTGGGGTCATGACCTGAGCCGAAGGCAGACGCTTAACCATCTGAGCCACCCAGGCGCCCTGGAAAGTGATTAGTTTTTATATATCAACCTTGTATCCTGCAACTTTGCTATAATCATTTATTAGTTCCAGGAGGGTTTTTTTTTTGGCCAATTCTTTCAGATGTCCTACAGAGACAATCATATCACCTGCAAACAAAGACAGTTTTATTTCTTCCTTCTCAATATATACACATTTGATTTCCTTTTCCTGCTTTTTTGCATTAGCTAGAACTTCTATTCCGATGTTGAAAAGGAATGGTGAGTGGGTTCATCCTTGCCTTGTACCTAATCTTAGTAATAACATTTCCAGTTTCTTTTTTTTTTTTTTTAAAGATTTTATTTATTTATTTGACAGAGAGAGACACAGCGAAAGAGGGAATACAAGCAGGGGGAATGGGAGAGGGAGAAGCAGGCTTCCCGCGGAGCAGGGAGCCCAATGCGGGGCTCGATCCCAGGACGCTGGGATCATGACCTGAGCCGAAGGCAGACGCTTAACGACTGAGCCACCCAGGCGCCCCACATTTCCAGTTTCTTACCATTAAGCATGATGTTAACTGTAGGCTTTTTGTAGATATTCTTTACCAAGTTGAGAGAGTTCCCATCTATTTCTAATTTACCGAGAGTTTTTATTATGAACGGGTGTTGGATTTTGTCAAATGCTTTTTCTGCATCTATTGATACGATCATGTGACTTTTCTTTTTTAGCCTGTTGATGTGATGGGTTACATTAATTGATTTTCAAATGTTGAACCAGCCTTGCATACCTGGGATAAATCCCATTCGTCATGGTGTATAACCTTTTTATACATTGTTGGATTCAATTTGCTATATTTTTGAGGATTTTTGCATCTATGTTCATGAGAGATACTGGTCTGTAGTTTTCCTGTAATGTCTTTGTTTTGGTATTAGGATAATGCTGGCCTCGTAGAATGAGTTAGGAAGTATTCCCTCTGCTTCCATTCTCTGAAAGAGATTGTGGAGAATTGGTATCATTTCTTCCTTAAATATTTGGTAGAATTCACCATGTGGGCCTGGTGATTTCTGTTTTGGAAGGTTATAAATTATTGATTCTATTTCTTTAGTAGGTAAAGGCCTATTCAAATTGTCTATTTCTGCTTATGTGAGCTTTGGCAAATTGTCTTTCAAGGAATTAGTCCATTTCATCCAGGTTATCACATCTGTGGATTTAAGAGTTGTTTATAGTATCCCTTTATTATCCTTTCAATTTCCATGGGATCTGTAGTAATGGGCCTCTTTCATTTCTGATATTAGTAATTTGTGTTCTCTCTCTCTCTCTCTCTTTTCTTAGCCTGGCTTGAGGCTTATCAATTTTATTGATCTTTTCAAAGAATCAACTTTTCACTTCACTGATTTTCTCTATTGAGTTTCCATTTTCAGCTTCATTGATTTCTGCTCTAATTCTTATTTATTTTCTTTTGCTTACTTTGGATTTAATTTGCTCTTCTAAAAGTTTTCTAAAATGGAAACTTAGATTATTGAATTTAGATTTTTCTTCTTTTTTAATATATGCATTCAATACTAGACACTTCCCTCTAGACACTACTTTCACTGCATCCCACAAATTTTAATAAGGTATGTTTTCATTTTTATTTAGTTCAAAAACTTTAATTTCTCTTAAGGTTTCTTTTTTGCCCCATGTGTTATTTAGAAATGTGTTGTTTAATCACCATGCAATATTTGGGGATTTTCAAAGTTATCTTTCTGTTACTGATTTCTAGTTCAATTCCACTGAGCTCCGAGAGCAGATGTTGTATGATTTCTGTTCCTTTAAATTTGTTAAAGTGTGTTTCATGGCCCAGAATGTGATCTATCTTGGTGAATGTTCCATGTGAACTTGAGAAGAATGTGTATTCTACTGTTGTAGGATGAAGTAGCCTCTAAATGTCCCGCTTCTGTCCAGTTGACTGATGGTGTTATTGAGTTCAATTATGTCCTTACTGATTTTCAACCTTCTGGATCTTTCCATTTCTGACAGAGGGCTATTGAAATCTCCAACTCTAGCAGTGATTCATCTTTCTCCTTGTAGTTCTATCAGCTTTTGTACTTACAGCTTGACACTCTGTAGTTAGGCACATATACATTAAGGATTGTTATGTCTTCTTGGAGAATGACCCCTTTGTCATTCTGTAATGCCCTTCTTTATCCCTGATAACTTTCCTGGTTTTGAAGTCTATTTAGTAGCAATCAATGCTTTTAAAAAATTAATTTTTAATTGAAGTATAATTAATGTTATAATAGTTTCAGATGTTCAATATAATGATTCAACATTTCTATAAGTTTCCCAGTGCTCATCAAGATCAAGTGTACTCTTAATCCCCCTTATCCATTTCAACCATCCTCCCACCCACCTCCCCTCTGGCAACCACCAGTTTGTTCTCTGTATTTAAGAGTCTATTTTTGTGTGTATCTCTTTTTTTTTCTTTGTTCATTTGTTTCTTAAATTCTACATGGGAGTGAAAAGCTCTGTAAGTGCCCCCACTCCCTGCCCCAGCTCCTCTCCCTGCACCCCCATTCCTCTACCATGATCCAGAAAAGAGTTGACACCTGGCATGACAGGGTCTCTAGGACCTGCTCAGCCACCAGCTGTTTCACTTGGATTGGCCTGGTGCACTTGCTTATCAGTTATTAAATATTTTGATCATCAGACCTGGACAGGCCTTCTGTGGGGAGCAAAAGAGATGCTGTGGAAAGAACATAGCCTGGGGCCCTCTCCTCAGGAGTGTCCAACCTCCTCAGGGTCCTAGAGAAAGCCGGCATTGCATCCTGGGGGCACATGGAAACAGGGGGAGGAGGGAAGGACGATTTCAACAAGGAAGGTTTTCTGGGAGCTGAGCTTGTATAGGGTTTCGGCAAGCAGGGATGGTAGGAAGGGCGTTCCTGGCTCAGAGAGTCATTTCAGACAACCAGGGCCCACTGTGGTACATCTTGGGCTATCAGCTGCTGGTGTCCCCTTTCCTCCATGACACATCGTTTCCACCAACTGCTAATTACCTCATTTCCTTCAGAGGCTCTGATTGTTATCTACACCCCCTTGGCTGAATTCCTCTGAAACGTGCTGGGGGCCACCTGAGCTCCTCTCCTCCCATTTGCCCTGGTCACTTGCCCAGTGGGGTGGTTTCCCAGGCATCCTTCTCTGCTCTCTGCTGCTCAGATGAAGAGAACAATGACTCCATGGAATCCCAACAGGGAAATAGAAGTGACAAGTGGAGGGTATATAGGGAGGTAGGGACTCCGCTAGTCACTCAGTGAACCGTGACCGAGAACCTACTGTGTGCTGAGCACGTGGGCACCATGGGATGAATAAGGTGCATTTTCATCCCACCAAGAGTAGAGAGTCTAATGGCAGAGACAACACCAGTATAAAAACAACTCTGAACAGAGGAATACAAGTTCCATGAGGGAGGTTATGGATAAATTCTACAAACTGCAAGAGGTCAGGCCACAGCTAGCTGGGGCCATCAGTATGAAGGCTCCCGGAGAGGAACTGAGCATAGCCTTGAAGGATAGGCAGGGTTTGGGCAAAGTAAAGTAGAAAGGAAAGGGCATCCCAGGCAGCAGGGACAGGATGAGCAAAGGCAAAGCAGTGGGAGAGCACCAGCCATGCACAAAGCTAAGATCAGCCCGACTGTAAGGGAGCAGTGAGCCTTGAGGCCGAGCAAGGGAGGAGAACCAGGTGATCGAGGCTGGATGCTGGCTAAGGGGTATGGAATTCTCCAGTTAGGGGTTTGGGAGCCATGGCGCATTGGAGGGGAGGAGAGACACGGGAGTTGTGCTTCGTGAAGGAGGTTGTAGAGATCGTCTTGCCTGGTCCCTGGCTCGAGCAGCAGGAGTGCGCAAGGAACTCTTGCTCCCAGCAAGGCCCTCTTAGTATTTTAGGCTCTACCCAAGAGGGGCTCCAGCCTTGCTCAGGGTGACTCACAGGTACCCTTGCTTTTATTCTGTGCTTCAAGGCCCTTGCGGAGATGCTCAAGGTAAATAAGGTGCTGAAGACACTGAACGTGGAATCCAACTTCATTTCCGGAGCCGGGATCCTGCACCTGGTGGAAGCTCTTCCATACAACACTTCTCTAGTGGAACTGAAAATCGATAACCAGGTTAGATGCACAAGGGTCTTTTCGTGTCCTTCACTACAGGATGCTCACGGTTCTGCACTTGCCCATGTACTGATGGATGGATGGGTAGGTGCTGCTGGACAGAGCAGATCCAGGGCCCAGCCTTAAGGCACCCCAAAGGTCGTTGGTCCACACCCTCCACCATGCTCATCTTCCTTCTTCATCATGTCCATCAAGTGCTCTGCCAGGTTCTGCTTGTATACCCCTAGTGATGGGAGCTCACTCCTTACCAAGATCACCCCTTCAATTCTTAGTGAGAATATCCCTCCCCATATCCAGGAGAAATCAGCTCCCTGCAAGTCTTGTTTATTGGATTTAATTCTGTTCTCTGCTGCACGTGGGACACATCTGGGGCACAGATCTTATAAACCACTGGAGTCTTCCCCACCAGGCTAAATATCCCTATTTTCTTCAAACACCCTCCCCCAGCCCCACTCAGTGGGCTTTTGAGTCAGTCTCCTTACCACCGAGTCTATTCTCTGGGCAAATACTAGTTTGACTTTCTCCTAATGGGGTTACCATTTCTTTGTAACTTCTGTGGTTCAGACAGTTATTATCAGGGCAACTCTTTCAGTTCTGACTTTCTAAGATGATGCTGGCTACCATATCTTATATGTTGCCTGTGTTAAGGGTCTATGGTGGGCTGGGCTGTGTGCGATGCACCTTACACACATCATCTCTGACCTTCCTAACCACCCTGCAGGATGTGGGTATTATCTGCTCAGTCTGCAGCTGAGAAGCAGCCTGGACAGGCTAGGACAAGCAACTTTCTCAGCACCACCCACTTAGCACTTGGGAGGCGGGATTCGAATTCAGGTCTCTGTGATTCCAAAGCCCACACTCTTTCCGTGATGCCACATTGCTTTTCATGTTAAAATGCTTTCTTCTTTATGGGCTCTGGATAGGGAACTTTTGTTTTCCTACCTCAAAATGTTTGCCGGATGGTCATATAAATACGTGCATAGAAAAAAGATTGGAAGGAAATATAACAAAATTGTAGATAGCAGTTATTCCTGAATGAGACTATCTGTACTTTTCATCCTTACTGTAAAATATCCCACACACATATGGAAAAGTGCACAAAACTTTAGTGTGCAGCTTATGAATCATGGCAGGCACGTGGTCCTGTGCGAGTCCAGAACTAAAGCATCACCGGGCTCCAGAGGCTTTGACAGCCCTTCCCAGCCGTAACCCCTTGAAAACTCTCTACTTGTGCACCTCCATGTCTTTGCTCTTGGTTCTCTCTCCTCCTGGAATGTCCTCTCCTGCCCCTACCCCTCCTCTGCCTGGAGAATCCCTCCTCTTCCTTCTGGATTCAGTTGAAGCCTCTCCTCCCAGCGAGCGGTGTTCCAGAGCTAGCTTGCCAGAGCTGATTGCAAGCATCTCTCCTCACTCCACCTCAGGGATGGCGCGCTGCTACCTTGAAGTCACTCCTGGTGGGAACATTTACACTATGGATATTGACAAACACTATAAATCCAACTTTTTTTTTTTTTCTTGAGAGCCTGGATGTCACTACTTTCTCCCATTAGCCTACCTTAGGGCCTCTAACCCTCTCTCCAGAGAGGGTTAAGTGATCCCTCCCTGTATTCTCCTGGCACTTCAGCTTCCCATGAGCTTCTCAGAAGCTCGTGCTGTATTTGAGCCATCTCTTTATTTCAGTGCTCAGCTCGGAACTTGGCCTCTCCGTGGTGCTTGGTAGGCAGGGCTGCCCTGGGTGGTTGTGTATGTTGTTCACTGCACAGGGGGCAGGGGGCAAAATCCAACCCACACTCTACTCTCTAAGCCTTCGCATGGGGCTTGTTCACCCAGAGAAGGTACTTTTCTCTGATTCATATAAAGAGTAGCAGCCCTGTCGGGTGAATTTGCTGCACGGGACTCCTGCATCTCTCGCATGCCAACAGCTGCTGCTGCATCACCCATTCCCACTCTTTCGGCCGCTGCTGATCCTGCTTTCTGGCAGGCAGGAGGGGCAGATCCACTGGAACGAAGGCATGTGGCAGGCTTAAGGGCAGCCTGGGGCTAAGGCCTGGCATTGGCTACTCATGGGACTCCAAGCCTGGCTGGGCAGGGAGTCAGGGTCTACCCAGCGTCAGCTGAAACCTGACTCCTGGGGCAGAATGTTGGCCAAAAGGGACCCAGAGCGCTGGCCTCAGGTCCCTGTGATGACAGCTGACGGAGAGTGAGCTGCCTACCTTCCCTCTCGCTGCTGTCGGCCCCGGCTGAGTCCAGACTCAGAGCCAGTGCTGACCGGCACCCTCCCCCTCACTGAACACCCCGGTGAGAATGTTCACTTCCCTGAGCCTCAGTTTCTTCACTTACAAAATGGGGATCATAAGAATTTCTACTTCTAAGGAAATGACAGATAGTAACTATGAGGTTGTGAACTTTTATAATTACTCCAAAGGTGACCTAGAGAGTTCACACAGTGTTCTAAGAGTTAATTTACTGAGGAGGTGCCATGTATCCATTATCTCATTTAATGCTCTCAAAGACTTTTTGTGAGTGGGTATTATAACCCACTCTGTGTTGTAGATGAGGACACTAAGGCCCAGGCAGGCTCTGTAACCTGCCCATGGTCACACAGTAAGTGACAGAGGTAAGATTCGAACCCAGGCTGATGTGATTCCACAGTCCATGAACTGTGCCCCTCTGGTCTTTTGACTCCTACTGTGGTTTTGTGTGGGTCTTGCTTGGCTTTTTCGGCGGTCCCTTTCCCTTGGTGTGAGGCTAGAGCTCTGGTCACCACCTCCCCCCCCCCACCATCCTGGGAGCCTCTTTTTTGGTCCATCTGAGTGTTTGTTGAGTGCTGGCTGAACCCCAGGGCTGTGCTCGGCTCTGTATATGAATGAGGCTCTGGCTCTGCCCTCCGGTGATTTCACTCTGGATGGGAAGGCAGACAAGTACAGAAATGATCATTGAACCAGGTGCTTCAGCAAGCCACAGATGGGGGGCCTTTGAGGAAGCAATCTCAGTCAGGAGCAGGCATCATGGAGGGCTTCTTGGAGGAGGTGGAGTTTGAGATAAACCTCTAGGATGGATAGTATCTCAGAGAGTGAAGTGGAGGCCGAGGCATCTCAGGTGCAGCAAACCACATGAAGAAGGAGAGGGGGAAGCCATAGAGCCCATCCCCTGGAAGAAGCCAGAAAGGGGGTTGGAAATCTAAAGGGCTCTGAATGGGTAGGTTGAATGAAAGTGGGCTGGGGGCTGTGTTCTGGGGAGATGGTTCCCAGCTGGATAGGAGAGGATTGAGGGCAGGCGTCAGGGCCTGGGAAGCCAGACAGATGAGGGCCACCTGTGGGGCAGTGCTTCCGCAGGCCTGGAGTCTAGGGAAGGTCACCAGGGCCTCTCACGGTGCGTCTCTCCTCGGGTGCCCCAGCTCTGGGCCTGAGGGTTGTGCCACAGAGGAGATGATGAGTGGTGTTTTATTCCTCATTCCTGGTTAGTCACCGAGGTCCTTAGAGGCCACAGCTTTCCCCTCAGTCCTTGGGACTGTACCCTGCGTTAGTGAGCCTCTATCCTCCTTCTTCCTTATATGGCCAAACAAAGGAGAAAGGGACTTGGGGAGTTCTGCCCCGGTGACAAGAGCCTGGCTGCCTGGCTCAGGACCCTAATCCGGGAACTGGGATCCTGGGGCTGTTTGTTTACTCAGTCATCTCTCTTTATCTCCAAGCAATGTTGTACCACCTCGAGTGGCCCTGAGCCAGCAGTGAGGGTGGGAGGGGGCAGAGAGGCCGGGACCCAGAGCCGAAGGCATTGAGAAAATGTCTAGTCCCGCCCCTCCTTCTGCAGGTGGGGAAACTGAGGATCAAAGAAGGGACGGGATGTGCTGAGGTCACGGATCAAGTTAGTGCCAGAGCTGGGCCAGAACTGAGGCGTCCCACCTTCCAGACAGGCTGCATTTGTGGTTGGACAGGAGAGACCCTCAGCCCCCAGGAGCGGGCCCCACATACGGGCTGTGTGTATGTGGTACCTGCCAGCCCTCTCCATCCCAAGTTGGCCAAGTCCAAATGGCGATTCTCTGTCCCTCTTGATTTGTGCTCCTCACTCCCAACAGAGCCGCCTCCAGCAGGTCCTTCCCCAGGACCTCGGGGCACCGGGTACTCCCTGCCCCTCAGAGCAGACAAGGCCTGAAAACATGACCCCTGCCCAAATGAAGTTATGTGCCATGTCTGGGGGATATTGGCTGGATTTCTCACATTTCATTCCAATATTGGACAGTGAGGATATGCTTCATATTTTGAAAAGAAGCTAAAGGAAGCGGATTGCGTTTTCTTGTTTACGCAGATTGGATTATTTTCCTAGTCCAAATAAGTTTAGAAAGAAAACAAAGCCACACTGGAATAGGATCCTGAAGGTTTTCACACAGGGTGACACCCCCTTAGTTTTAGATTACATACTCAAGGCAACTGGCTAAGTTGTTTTGTTTTTTTTTAATGAGGCTGAAAATGGTTTTGCAAAAAAGAGGAAAACAAAGCAAGCAAGACTTCGCCACCAGTCATGTTCTCGGTTTTGTTCCTCATACATTCAGCTTCTAAGCAGCAGCTCTTGGCTTGTGCATAATTTTTGTGTCTATCTCCGTGTGAACTGAAGTAATTCAGCCTGGAAACATCCAGCCTCCAAGAGAGGATGGGCATGTGTCACTGTCCCTTCCTCAAAATGCCAAGTATGGTCTTTCATTGACCTCACTTCTCAGGGAAAAATTAGATAGAGTCAGTGGAAATGAGAGAAAAAAATATGTCAAGAAAATCCTTTTCTTACACAGATCAGCATGAATCAGAATAAAGATTTGTGACAACAGCCATCTCACACCATGTCCAATCCCCAGTGGAGGCTGCACTCTGTTCTGAAAAGCCAAGAGCTTTCTAGACAGGAGACAGACTGATCCAGGGATTCCCTGTCTTCAAATCTCTGACACTTGAAGTCAAACGAGGATCAAGTCTAAGCTAAGCCTCCATTCTGTCGTATTCTTGCTGTGTAATAGTGGGGAGGGGCCACTTAATGTACCCATGCCTCAGTCTCCTCACCTCTAAAATGGGAAGGATACGCATACTCATGCAGCAGGGTTGTTAGAGGCTTTAATGTGTTGAGCCCTTAATGGGTACCTGGCATGTGTCTTCTCTCAATAAGGGGGAGGTGATATTTCTATTGTTTTATTGTTGTTTTTGTTGTTGTTTGGGTTTTTCTTTGGGGGGGGCAAAGGGAGAGGGGGAGAGGGGGAGAGGGAATCCAGAGAGCAGACTCCACACCCAGCGCAGAGCCCAAAGTGGGGCTTGATCTTACAACCCTGAGATCATGACCTGAGCCAAAATCAAGAGTTAGATGGCTAATCGACTGAGCCACCCAGTTGCCCCAATATTTTTATTGTTGATTAGACCAGTTGGTAGTGGAAGAGTGGGGTGGGAAGCACTGACCTCTGAGAAATCCTAGCTGGTGCAGGAAATGACTTTTTTTTTTTTTAAAGATTTTATTTATTTATTTGAGAGAGAGAGAATGAGAGACAGAGAGCATGAGAGGG